CTTGTCCTATTGATCTAGAAACTAAATATGTTTTTCTTAATTTATTCCTTGTCAGATTCTAGCGATGTCACTTATTAAATGATATAAAATATGGATTGAAAGTTTTTATTTAATAAAAAATTGATGTATAAAATATTTCAATCAGTTAAAGAGTTTGATATAATACCTTACTCAATCGTCGTTTTCTTTCTTTCTAAGTCATAGTAAAAATCTCAGTTGGCCAATCTCAATGATAGCAAATAAAATTCACTCTGGTCAACGATTTAGATCCGAGCTGGTGGATAAGGGAGACTGCGGTGAAGAAGATGAGCGATAATAGTGGATGTTACGACCGGTGGAGAAGGGCCGTGATGGTGGATTTTAGCATGACCTAAGAGTTATTCCCGATAGTTAAAAAAAATTCACTCTAGACTTCGATTTAGATTCGAGTTGTTGGAGGAGGGAGACGACAGTGAAGAAGTGGAGCGACGACAGTGTAGGTCGCGATTGGCGGACAAGGGCGGTGGTCGTTGATTTTAGCCGGTGGTAGAGGCAGCAAAGGGGGAGAAGAAGCATTGGGGATTTTCTGGAACGATGAAAAAGAAGCAAAAGGGAATGGACATAAACTAGGAAAAGGTTTATGGAAATTGAATATCTATTTAATATAATGCCACCATTTATTTTAGGGATAATGACTTGAAAGGGTAACGAACTTTCGACTTTGTTCACATTTAGTCACTAAACTTTTTTTCGTTATCTATTTGCCACTGAACTATTGAAATTGTTCACATTTTACCCTTATGACCGGCTGTTACCGGTCATAAGGGTAAAATGTGAACAGTTTCAATAGTTTAGTGGCAAATAGATAACGAAAAAAAGTTTAGTGACTAAATGTGAACAAAATCGAAAGTTCGTTTCCCTCTAAAATGTTCAATGACTAAATGTGAACAAATATCCTCTTGTATTATGTTTTAGCAAATTATTTATTTTTGTTAAATTGTAGCAACATTTTGTTGATGAAGAAATCTATGAAATAAAAAAAAAAAACAAAACCCCGAAAAATATATTAAAAAAAACGAAAAACCGAAACCGAAATAAAAAACCAATGGTTTGGTATTTCCAAAATAAAAAATCACAATTTTCCAATCTTATTTTGGTTTTACAAAAAAATGAACCATTCTCACTGATGTGATCTATGACCATTGGTTTGACATGCGGAATTAAAGAACACACAAAGAACACGGTGATTTGGGTGTTTAACAGATGCATTCGATTACGAAAGGTGTTTACAAAAAAGGATATAGATCTAAATCTACATAATTAACACACACTAACACTTTCAATGTTACATCTCTCAAGCACACCTCTACATGTGGTATGAACCCACATTATATAGAGGTGTTTACATGTCTCTCTCTCTATCTCTCATGTCATAAAGGGGGAGTTTTGGATAGACAATTCTGAATTGAGCGCTTTCTCATTCTCTTTTTGGTTTTAGAATCATTTTTCGATTATAAAAAGGGGGGGGGGGGGATTTAGATATGGAAATCCGAAAGTTGAATTTTTGTAAAACCAAAATCAGATTGGAAAATTGTGATTTTTTATTTTGGAAAATACCAAACCATTGGTTTTTTATTTCAGTTTCGGTTTTTCGTTTTTTTTAATATATTTTTCGGGGTTTTGTTTTTTTTATTTCATAGATTTCTTCATCAACAAATGTTGCTACAATTTAACAAAAATAAATAATTTACTAAAACATAATACAAGAGGATGTTTGTTTACATTTAGTCATTGAACTTTTAGAGGGAAACAAACTTTCGATTTTGTTCACATTTAGTCACTAAACTTTTTTTCGTTATCTATTTGCCACTGAACTATTGAAACTGTTCACATTTTACCCTTATGACCGGTAACAGCCGGTCATAAGGGTAAAATGTGAACAGTTTCAATAGTTCAATGGCAAATAGATAACGAAAAAAAGTTTAGTGACTAAATATGAACAAAGTCGAAAGTTCGTTACCCTTTCAAGTCATTATCCCTTTATTTTATATTGGTTCTCAAAAGTTCTTAATATTTTTTTGGGAAAATTTCATATATATCCTTCCAAACTTTAAGAATTACGTCAATGTCCTTATAAAATATTAAATTACGTATATGTCATTTTAAAACTATAACATTTACGTGTTTATCCAACCCTATATTTTAATTAGAATTACAGGATTTTAATATTAAAAAAATTATATAAAATTCAAAACTATATATAACTTTACCAAAATACCCTTTACAATTAAATCCAAAATAATTTTAATCAATTAAGCATGTAACTAATTCAATTTAATGCCTTTCTCTTTACTTAATCGATTCATACACCATCCTTTTCACCGTTTACCTCACCTTCTTCTCTCATATACCCTCTATCGACGACCATCACCTGTAAACTAGTGCCGCCTTCATGCCAAACTACTTTGAAAAGCCAATTCGACGACAACTCTTCATCGTTGTGACCTAGGTACATCCTCCCCTGTTCACGACTAAATCACTGTAACGCATGATTTCCCCCTCATATTCTCACCGATTACTACCAGTTGAAGCCTCACCACTTTGCCGAAGATGTGTCTCAACCCCTATTTCGTCGGCTTCCCTTGCTGCAGTAAACATAAAATCCCAAGGTAGAACCCGAATTCTAATCTCCCTGTGATTTGTGCTGTTAATGTTTTGCATTTGTACCCAATTTCACTCTTTGTTGGTTTGGATCATCTTTCTTGGTTTCAAAATATAAAAAGTATTGTTTAAATTTGCTTTAGGGTATATATTAGCTTAGGAGCCCCAATTCTTGACATGGACAAACGTTTCCACTATGAGGTCTTAATGTTATCTTGGTAGTTGGAGATTGTATGTTAGTTGGATTACAGGCGATTCTTCATTCTTCTCTTCTAAATGCTCATACCATGTATACCCTGAAAAGCAATAACCAACAATAAAGAGAAATAAACAATATGAGAAAGAATAGTTGCTGAATTGAATGGAATTCATAGTGAAACCCACATTTGACTAAATTGCCCCTCCCTTATTTCTTCTGTTGTAAGAAATTTTTTCAACCTGCTTTCAGTTTTACACAGGTTAGAGAAAAAGATAGAATGTTTTTCTTTTCTTTGTATCTTGTTTAAATTTTATGTTACAATATATGTTGTACAATCGATTAACAAACCACATCACCTGTTGTAAAGTGAACTAGTAAAAAAAAATTGGTATTGTTTGGTGTGAATTGAAAAGACAAATAAATTCCATTTTCTTCACTTTCTTTACTTGGCCAATGGGTATTACCTTGTCATTGCATCATCAAATCGAATTACAAAACTTTATATTTGTATATTGTTGATCTTTTTACAATGGAAAAAGGAGTTTTCAACCTTTTAACTAGTTATTTTCTATAAAGAGGATGTGCTGTTTAAAAGTTAATATGTAATCTACATTGTTTCAAGTGGCTACCTAGTTAACTCTAGTTGTAATTCTGGTGTTCTGTGTCTCTATGCAGGTACCTTATAATTATATTTGCAAGTTCTGGACTTCAAGCTACAAGTAGAATGTTATCATGACATGTCAAGCTTAGTTGATGCAAAAGAGTGATGCTTTTAAAGTAGGGTGTTAATTCTGTCCGGATGAAGAAACCATATCATAAGTAGAGTGCTATTTTGGAAACACCAATACAAGTAGATTGCTTCTTTTGAAGATCCCAACAATAAAAGGCAAGCAAATGATTTTATTTCAAAGGATGATGCTAAAGTGTTGGTGTTGTTGCTAGTATTTTCTTAAAGATTCTTTATATTATGTTCATCTAATTTATGTAACTTTTTGTTATCTATGTATTGTAACTTTCATGTTGCTGTTAATACTTAATGCATTTTAACCATTTAAAAATTAAGTTTGGTGTCATTTCATTGTTTACCCTCCACATCCATATATTTCATGTTGTTGTTCTATGGTTACAGAAATAGTAATGTATAATACAAAATGGTCCCTGTTTCAAAACCAAAGTTACAAAATTGATCTTTATGGCATAAAAAAAATACAAAATTGGTCCCTATAGCATGTTAACATTGCAGGTATGGTCCCTATGGCAAAAAAAACTTGATAGAAATGGTCCTTGTGCACAAAAACATTACAGATTTGGTCTATGTTTCAGAAAAAACATTACACATATGGTCCCTGTTTTAGTAAAACATTACATATATAGTCCCTGTTTCAGAAAAACATTTAAAAATGGTCCTGTGCACAAAAACATTACAGATTTGGTCCATGTTTCAGAAAAAACATTACACATATGGTCCCAATTTCAGAAAAACATTACGGATATAGTCCCTGTTTCAGAAAAAAAAATTAAAAATGGTCCTGTGCACAAAAACATTACAGATTTGGTCCATGTTTCAGAAAAAACATTACACATATGGTCCCTGTTTCAGAAAAACATTACAGATATAGTTCTCGTTTCCGAAAAAAATTAAAAAGTTGTCCTTGTGGCCAATAACAATTATAGATTTGGTCCATGTGGCAGAAACTCATTACAGAATCGGTCCATATGGCAAAAAACATTACAGAAATGCTCTATATGCAGAAATTGATTACAGAAATGGTTTCCCATGGGAGAAATACATTACATAAACAGCCCCTATGACATAATATATTTACAAAATGGTCCCTACGACAGAAATAGATAACAAATGCAGTCCTTATAGCAGAAAATGTTTATATATATGGTCCTTGTTGGAGAAATACATTACAGAAACAATCCATGTGGCATAAAATTAATTAAAAACATGGTCCAAAAATAAATATATATATATATATATATATATATATCTAATCAATATTTAAACGGTTTTTCTCATGCAAATTCTACCGAACAACAAAATTAAAAAATTAAACAATCCATGCAGAAAGCATTAAAGTACTAAAATGTAATGAAACTCATAACAAAAACTCATGATCTTTTGTGTTCTTTCCTCTTGCTAGAGGATGATTCATCAAAACCTTGAGACGCGGGATTTTTGCAAGTCCTTTGATGGTGTCCATACATACCACAACGCGGACATCTGTGTCTTTTTTTTGGGCTCGTCATGTGGTATAATTCTGTTCTTTTTAGGTCGTCCAGGCGGTCGTTTTATAATAGGAGGGTATATCTTTTCGACTGTCTCTATACTTACCCATTGATCTTTTCCAGGCATCGGACCAATTTCTAAAGCATATGCTTCTTTAAACTTGTCGACTGTGAAATATGTATCAACATATTTGTCCCAATTAGGGTCCCTTGTGAAAGCAATAAAAGCAGCTGCATGCACACACAGAAGGCCTGTAACTTGCCATTTTCGACAACTACACTTTTTCTCATCCAATACAACATCCCACGATATCCTTTGTACTTCACTTCTGCTTTATTATCACCGCTTCTACAAACTTGATATTCACCCAAGTTCTACATGAGAAAATAAAAAAAGAACAAACTAATATCAGGAAAAATATATATTTTAATGCAAAAACATTATGTATATATAGTTCCTTAACTTGCCTTAGTGATTGTTTTGAGATACTTCTTTGCTTTTGGAACTAGTGGTCCTTTCCATTTTTGCACCTTACTTCTTTTCTTGTCAAATCGTTCCATAAGTTTTTCTCTAATTGCGTCAAGGAGATCAAGCACCGGTTTATAACGTATGTCACCTACCCAAGAGTTAAAAGTTTCTGAAATGTTGTTGGTAATGTAATCACACTTGACAAGTGTGCCAAACTTACTTCTACTCCATATCTTTTTATGGTTCTCATTCAAATATGAAATTGCATCTGCACATTTAGTAGCAATTTCATTTAACAATCTATCATGCTTACTAAGAGAGTAGGTATTTGCAGCCTCCCATAGCTTGCTCATGAAAAAGTCACCTCGAAAATGTTTCTTGAAGTTGCTACATAAATGTCTTATGCATTCTCGATGCTCAATATTAGGATAAACCTGTGTAATAGCTAATTCCAAGCCTTTTTGCATGTCAGAGGAGATAACAAGACCATTTGGTGTACCAATCGCTTTTTTTAGTGACGTGAGAAACCAAGTCCATGATTTTGTATTCTCTGCCTCAAGCACACCATAGGCTACTGGAAACATACCATTGTTACCGTCGATACTTGTGGCAGCGGCTAACACACCATTAAATTTCCCTTTCAAATGACAAGCATCAAGCCCAATGTAAGGACGACAACCAGCAAGAAACCCCTTAGAGCATGCTGTTAATGATATAAAAAAGCGTAGGAAATGTTTCTTTTCACCAACTGTCTGTAAATCAATCTCCACCACACTTCCTAGGTTTCTTTTTTCAAGTTCTTGTTTGAAATCATATATATTTACATAAGAGTCATCCCACTTTCCATACATATCGGTATAAGCTTGTTCTCTTCCTCTAAAGACTCTCATATATGGTACTTCAACATTGTAGGTATGCATAAGCCACTTTTTTAGGTCGGCAGGAGAGACATCGCCTTCAGATTTCAACTTGTCGGTAACAACATCAGCAATCCATCCTTGAGTGGCATGTTTGTTACCACTCTTGTTGCTTCGAGTACAAGAATGAGTTTCTATAAATTTCTTTACCTACAAAATTGAAAAAAACATATAATTATGTTAACATAAGAACAATGTTGACAAATGTAGTATTTCTCAAATTTATACTTACTTCAAAAGTAACCCCATATTGTGTAAGAGAAGCATGAATTCTCCACTTGCACTTTTATCTCCAAACATGCTGTAAGTCTTGTCAAATCACTTTTCTCAATGACATACTCAAATTCGTTTGTTAGTGCATAATGGTTTAATGCTCTTCTAAAAGCAATTACACTTGGGAATTTAGAATTCACTTTCATAAATGGATTCATCGTACTATATGCATAAGTTTCGCTATAATTTAGAAGCTCATATTCGTTATCGGAACTATGAAGACTATGATAGCTTTCTTGACTTGGACAAACTGAGTCTGTTTCATTTTCATCATCAGATTCATCAATAACTTTATCTTGACAACTTAACGGTTTAGGGTTATACCTTAATTTTTCAGTTGTCGCATAAATTGTCACTTCTTTCTCATCATTATACATGTTTAACATCACCATGAAACTCTTATCATTATCAAGTTCAATAAAGCATTGCTCTTTTGCATATTTGTCAACAAATACTATTGACAAAACAATATCGCTTTGTGATGGATAGTGTTTTTTCACCTCTTCAACTAGATGATTTAAGTCGTATGAAAATGTGTCTATATAGAGACATTTTGTAAATCCAAAGCAATGCACGTGCCTACATGAGTTCCTAGCTAATCGAACAGAAGCCTCCATATTTCAATTTGAACTTGAATTCCGATATTACTTGTCTGATAACCACAATGAAAAAAAAACAGTTAATAAAATTGAAGGGAAACATAAAGTATCATTCATTGTTGATAAAAACTTACTCAATTATGGGCGAGTGAGCACTTATGTCCCATCTCGGTGCATCAACCTCATTATCCATCAAAGAGGAGGATAATAAACTATCTATTGCAAACCAAACATAATTGAATGCAGAACCAAAAATTAATCGAATGCAAAAAGTTAATCAAAAACCAAAATTAATCGAATGAAGAACAAGATTAACCTGTTGTGATGAAATAACGTGATTTATTGCTATGTTGCAGCAACGATATTTGAATAAACGAAGGCAAAATTCTCACGGCTTTGAAGAAGAAAACAACGTGATGAAGCCTTGAAGATTTCACGTTTTTGAGGTT